ACGATTATTAAAATATTGGAATGGAAATCTTGAAGCTTTTGAAGGTTATGAAAATTGAGTATGATTGTAATATTAAATTTTTTATAAATGTAAATTCATTCCTATTTTACAAAATATAGAAGTGTAAAATTAATTTTTAAAAAAAAGGTGAGGTAAGATATTAACTAGACCCTGTAAAATTTTAAATACTTAATTAATTAGTTATTAAAATAAATAAATGAAAAGTAGAGCAGTTACGTTACTGAAGCTTAAATTTTTTGATTTCATCAATTGAATTTAACTAATAAATTCATTAGATTCAGCCTGTCCATCATGTAGAATGTTATTTTCCATAATGCTTTTAGATTACAATTATATGGTTTCCGTTTGAAAATAGAATATTCGAAAGTTTGTTTGTAAATAATAAAATTCAAATATTCAAAATACATTTTCGAATATCGAAAATCGATTCGGAGCACCCATGTTGCATTATTACGATTTCTTAAATACGAACATTATTAATTTGCGTTGCTTTTTGTAAATAAATTGCATTAGATATTAATTATTTTTCAAAGCCGGTAAATATACGCCCTCTTCTAGATTAATAAAAAAAAAAAAAAAAATAAAAAATAAAATAATTCAAATCAAAATGGAAAAAAATAATAGAGAATACGAAAAAAACAAAAATAAATAAATACGAAAAAAAAGAAAATAAAATAAAAAAAAGATAAAATGAATAAACTAAGAATAGTAAAAAATCAAATGTACCAACTGCTTTCTAACAGCGCAGCGCCCGATGCTATCAATCAATAAGCGATCAATTCAATCCCGAAAGAAATTTTCCTTAAAAAAAAGGAAAAAAGATTAAATGCACATAATTCTTGACTTCTCTACTCTAGTTGGTTGACAACATTTGACACTTTTAATGTCCGTATTGAATTGTATAAGCGACTTTTTGTCGATGTTAGTTGCAGAATCGACATTATTAAAAGGACGACAAAATAAAAATGGTCACATTGATAAGAGTTAGTGATTCCGTCTAGATAATTTTTCGGCTTTTCTTCGCTTGGAAAAAGATGAGAGTACTCAAAATTCAGATTTTATTATTTATATTATTTATTTTTACTATTATTTTCCAAAGAATAGCGAAGGACCTTTTAATACAAGTCATTTTAAATGCAATCCGCGTGATCAACGAATAGAAATTTGTATTTCATAAATCTAAATTCAAAATTCATAATATACCGAAATGATCATAGAAAAAGCGCATGTCTAACTTATTACTTTGAATACAAATGTTACAGTGAATTGAATTATATGAATATCTTATATTTTCTCTTTGTTGAAAGTCTAGAGTTCAGGATTAATATAAATTCATTTACTTTTATTATTCTTCCTGTTTCATCTAATAGGATTGATTGTGTTTGACTGAATCTTTTTTTTTTATGATTCAATTTGAATGATCGAAAGACAATATAATCTCAAAGAAGGCAGTCATACAAATATTCTAATTTGTCAGACTAATATGAAAGAATATCACAAGTTGTTTAAAACGTTGATAATTTTCTTGACGTTGCTGGAGATGTTCTACGATCTCTAAATTGTTCGTATACACTTCGTTTTGGCGAAACGCGATGATGCTTATCCATGTTGAAAAATCTATTTCTTTGCTTTACAAAGGTAAAAGAATCTTTAGTATAATAATTTGAAAAATTCACGATATCATAAAAAGCTCCGCAAAATAATTAAGAAATTGTACGACTTAAAATAAAATGCGATTGGTTAAAATTTTTTTAGAAAAAAATTTTCCTCTATAAGTAAAAAATTATTATCAACATTCTTATTATGACTTGTTATTTGGTAATCTATAAAAATTATTCATTTTTGCATGATGAAATGATATAATGACAAAAGTCAAATCAAAATTACCATACCAA